TGAGGATACTCGAGAATTTATCCACCTCTGCTTTAAAAATATTGATGAGGAATCCTCTAACTCACCTTGGGGAAGAGAATTCTACACATTCATGATCCGTTGAAAGAAAGCAATTCTCCTCATCCGTATGTTAAATAGGAAACCTTTATTTTTAGATAGCATCCCTAGTTCTAGACTTTCCTAAAAGTAGAAACACTAGGTTAAATTTTACCAGAAATTGCCATAGTGTCAATTCTGACAATTTTCATGATGGCTTTCTCTCTGTGAGGCCTAGCAGGATTTCTCACACTGTTCTTCCCAACATCTTCCCTCGCTCATTCTCACCCACCACAGGCACATTTTGCTGCTAACCCTGCATACCCTCTAAAACTAACTGAGCTCAGGGATGGCGCATAGTCTGCAGGAAGCAGTCAGAGGGTGGAACAGCAGCACAGAGTGAGTAACAAACTAACTGAGCTCGGGGATCGTGGTCTAGTCTGCAGGGAGCAGTCGGAAGGCAGAGCAGCAGCACAGAGCAAGTAAAAAAACTAACTGAGCTCGGGGATCGCGGTCTGCAGGGAGCAGTCGGAGGGCAGAGCAGCAGCACAGAGCGAGTAAAAAAGCTAACTGAGCTCGGGGATCGCGGCCTAGTCTGCAGGGAGCAATCGGAGGGCAGAGCAGCAGCACGGAGCAAGTAAAAAACTAACTGAGCTCGGGGATCGCGGTCTAGTCTGCAGGGAGCAGTCGGAGGGCAGAGCAGCAGCACAGAGTGAGTAAAAAACTAACTGAGCTCAGGGCACATTGCAGCTGTGAAAAACAAACATGGAGTGATGTCACAGGGAAGCTGTGGCCTGATTGGCTGGTAGAAATTTTTCACTGAACATGAAAAAGAACACAATAAAGATGTATTAATAAATTAATTAACTCATTAATAAATTTATATAAATTAATAAATTAATCAACTAGGTAGAGATGGCTGGACAGGTGATGTGTTGTAGCTGTATGATTTGGGAGCTAGCTGATTCCATTGCAAGCTGCAGTGACCACATCTGTAGAAAGCGTTGGATGCTTGAGGAACTTCAGCTCAGAGCTGATGAGCTGGAATCTGAGCTTCAAACACTGCAGCACATCTGGGAGGGGAAGAAGTACCTGGAAGCTTTGTTTCAGGTGGCGGTCACACCGAGTAGGTTAAGCACTTCAAAATCAGACAGTGATCAGAGACAGAGATAGCAGGAACTGCAGATGCTGGAGAATCTGAGATAACAAGGTGTAGAGCTGGATGAACACAGCAGGCCAAGCACCATCAGAGGAGCAGGAAGGCTGATGTTTTGGGCCTAGACCCTTCTTCAGAAATGAAGAAGGGTCATTCTTCATTTCTGAAGAAGGGTCGAGGGCCGAAACATCAGCCTTCCTGTTCCTCTGATGCTGCTTGGCCTTCTGTGTTCATCCAGCTCTACACCTTGTTATCTCAGTGATCAGGGACAGCAGGGTGTGATTGCAAGTGAGGTAGGTAGGGGGATCCTGCAGTCAGGAACAGAGCAGCCTTAGCTCTTGACCTTGTCCAATAGGTATGAGGTACTGGCTCCCTGTGAGGAGGAGGAACAAGGCTGTAGGAAGGATGAGCCAACTGACCACTGCACTGTGGTACAGGAGCCATTCAAGAGAGGGGGAGCAAAAAGACAAGTGGTAGTTGTAGGAGATTCTATAATTAGGGGATTGCTAGCATCCTTTGTAAGCAGGGTTGAGAGTCCCGCTTGGTGTGTTGCCTGCCTGGTGCTAGGATAAGGCATATCTCTGACCGGTTTGAAAGGATATTGGAGCAGGAGGGGAGGATCCAGTTGTTGTGGTCCATGTTGGGGCAAACAACATAGGCAAGGCTGGGAAGGAGGACCTGTTTGGGGATTAGCACGTGCTAGGAACAAAATTGAGGAACAGGACCTCAAGGATTATAATCTCCAGATTACTACCCAAGCCACGTGCACATTGACTTAGGGATAAGAAAATTAGGGAAGTAAACACGTGGCTAAAGGAGTGGTGTGGGAAAGAAGGGTTCCATTTCATGGGGCATTGGCATCAGTTTTGGAACAGGAAGGATCTGTACCTTTGGGATGGTCTCCACTTGAACCGATCTGGAACCAGCGTTCTAGCAAAAAGGATAAATAGGGTGGTCACTAGGACTTTAAACTAGTGAAATGGGGGGAATGGAAGGGGAAAACGACAGCAAGTATAATAGTAAATAGAAAAGGAAACAGCAGGTTAACATTTATGCAGGTGGATTTAACTACAACAAGGACTATGAAAGAAGTTAAAAGGTAGGAAAACTCAGGTGATATTATTAATGGAGATGTTAGAATTCAAAAACAGTGTATAAAAACTAGCATAAAGGCATTTTCCTGAATGCTAATAGCATTCGAAACAAGGTAGATGAGTTAACGGCACAAGTCACCGTGAATGAGTATGATTTAGAAGCCATTACAGAGACGTGGTTGCAGGATGGTCACGCCTGGGAAATAAATGTCCAGGGGTATCAGACTATTCTGAAGAACAGACAGAAAGGTAATGGGTGTGGTGTAGCTCTTATATTTAAGGATGACCTCAGGATGGTAGTGAGAGATGATATACGTTCTATGGAGAATAAGGTTGAATCCATTTAGGTGGAAATTAAAAATTCTAAGAAGAAAAAGTGACTGATAGGTGCTGTCATTAGGCTACCAAATAATAACATCTCATTGGGGCAGGCAATAGCCGAAGAAATAACTAATGCCTTTAAAAATGATACAGCAATTATCACGGGAGATTTTAATCTACATGTCAATTGGTCGAACCAGGTCAGTCAAGGCAGCCTTGAGGAGGAGTTCATCAAATATATCCACGATAGTTTTCTTGAACAGTATGTAATCGAACCAACGAGGGACCGATCTATCCTAGATCTGGTCCTGTGTAATGAGACAGGAATAATTAATGATCTCATAGTTAGGGATCCTCTTGGAAAGAGCAATCACAGTATGGTTGAATTTAGAATACAGATGGAAAGTGAGAAGATAAAATTCAATATCAGGGTTCTGTGCTTAAACAAAGGAGACTACAATAGGATGAGGGAGGAGTTGGGTAAAGTAGACTGGAAGCAAAGACTTTATGGTGGGATAGTTGAGAAACAGTGGAGGACTTTCAAAGCAATTTTTCAAAGTGCTCAGCAAATGTATATACCAATGAAATGGAAGGACATAGAAAAAGGGGTAACCAGCCATGGATGTCTAAGCAAATAAGGAAGACTACCAAATTGAAAGATAAGCCATATAAAATGGCAAAGACCAGAAGGAAACTAGAAGATTGGGAAAACTTTGAAAGTCAACAGAAAGCCACAAAAAATGCTAAAAAGAAAAGTAAGATAGATTATGAGAGTAAACTAGCTCAGAATATAAAGATAGATAGCAAAAGTGTCCACAAATATATAAAATGAGAAAGAGTGACAAAGATATACATTGGTCTTTTAGAGGATGAGAAGGGGGATTTAATAATGGGAAATGAGGAAATAGCCAAGGGATTGAAAGGATTTTTTTGTTGGTCTTCACGGTGGAGGACACGAATAACATGCCAGTAATTGAATACAAGGAGACTAAAGTAGGTGAGGACGTGGAAATAATTATTATCATGAAAGAGGTAATGTTGGGCAAGCTAATGGGGCTAAAGGTAGAAAAGTGTCCTGGCTCTGTTGGAATGCATCCGAGGCTACTAATAGAGATAGCGGGAGAAATAACAAATGCACTCGTGGTAATTTTCCAAAATTTGCTGGTCTCTGGGGCAGTTCCAGTAGATTGGAAAACAGCAAATATGACACAGAGACAACAAGGTGCAGGGCTGGATGAACACAACAGGCCAAGCAGCATCATAGGAGCAGAAAGGCTGACGTTTTGGGCCTAGACCCTTCATCAGAAAAGGGGGAGGGGAAGGGGGTTCTGA